GAGAACTACTCTTTGGTTTTTTACTTGGTTATTCTTAATGGGAAAACCAGGCCATTGCAAGTGAGAGTTTCAAGACCAAGAGGCACATTCACTCCCAGTTTTAGGGAGCTGATCTGCCTCTTTAAACTCAATGGAGAGAGGTTCCCTCCCTATGGCTGGCCCCCCAGGAGTGGTGGCAGGCACACGCTGCTGCCTGCGCCAGCGTTGCACTCTTGTCACTCCCTTCAGGAGTATTTTGCTTCAAAGGCAAGGGATCAGATCTACTTATGTTGACTGCCGCATCTCTGGGAACATGTAATGTTAGTCCTGACAGGTAGGGATTTGTTTCTAGTGTCTTGGTTTTGGCTTGGCCAGATCTTAACAGAGGAAGAAAAGGACTTTCCCGGCTGGGAAACTTCCTAAGACATTGCTGAGGAAGTACTGCAATATTCTGGTTACTAGTCAAGATGCCTTAAAAAAATCCCATTTCCTCCCTTCTAAGAGGGTACCCTTTCAACAAGACAGTCATTCCATGCCACAGCCTCTGCTTTCACCAAGCAGTAATTTTTCAGCTCTTCAGTTTCCTCCTACATCCTCATTTCCAGCCGGCAATCGCTTTGGTTGCTCTCTGAACCTCCTCCTACTTGTCACACACCTCTATGGCAACTGCCTGCCCAGAACCAAACGCAGCATTACCAAGTTGTGCGGGGAAGGAGATTTTACTACGTTTTACTGATCTAAACCACTGTGGCTTCGTATCTCTTACTGTCCCTTTCAACTCTATGGTTTTCTCTGTCTCTCTGAATACTAGTAGTGTAATTTTTTCCTTTAGCTGCTGGCTTACATTAGGTCAAATACAATTAGATATTTATTTAAATTGTCTAACTGTCTATGGCTTTTTTTCTTCCATTACTGCCCAGATAGATAAATATCAAATTACGGTTTCTCTCTGTCCTCTACATTAGGATATGGGAGATGGACTACAAGCAAAAAGCTTTCACTCACTTGTCAATGTTTGTGACTAATCGCTAACCCTAATCACTGTTACATAAACATCTGACACCTCTTAAATGCCTATATCAAATGCCTTACTAAAAGCCAGATGATCTGCCTTTAGAATCTCCTCAAATTATTTGTAACCATCAACGATCAACAAAATAAGTACCTTTGCTTGCTAAGATACATTATTTCCCCAGTTTGCTAGCACATCCCTAGTGCTCTATCACTTATCTAAATAATTATCAGAACTATAGCAAGTCCATTAGCTGATTCCTTTACCGACCAGTACAGCAAATTATCTGGACTCCCACTGTGCTGCAGTAAGCTCACATTTCACAAATATTTTCTTACTTGCCTTTTATCAGTAACTGTATTACATCCTCATTGATTTTTCAACTGTCCCTCATTTCAAGTATTTTTAAATAGATTTCCACCATTTCAGAGTTATCAATCTCACTTTGGTGCTCCTGTATTAATAGGTCTTTTGTATTTCTTTCCCCCCAGACATGTTTGTGAAAGCGCTTCTTTCCTTATCCTTCTGGCTGTTAATTTATTGTTGTTGATGCCCTTTATTCTCTGAGGCTTAAATCTAGCCAGTTGATTATTTGCAGTCCATCTTCCTTCAATGTAAGGCTACCTCGCCGCTTTCTGCTGCGTATAGTGAACTACAGAGCACATGGCTACTATGACGCTTAACTTTTAAGACAAAATTGTAATGCTTTCTGAGACTCACTTCCCCCCCGCTTCTCTGCTACTAGCTCACATTTTGAGATCTCCCACTGCTGCTAGTATCACTTGGAGGAAAATGGGCAGAGAAAATTCCATCTGTTAGATGCTGGGTTGCTTCCTCTGCTGGGGCAGCGGAGGGTTTTCCTCCTGTGTTCAGCCAGTCTTGAGTGCTGCTGTCTGAGGATTAATCCATGATCTCTTGAAAAACAAAACTTCAAATCATTCTTGAAATTAGTTGTTTGTGCCACACCGCAGGAATTTCAGTGACTCATAAATCCTGTTATTTCAAAGCAAGGGAAGTACTTGAAAAATATCATGTGGAGCTTGAATGTTCTTGCCTATTTCACAGACCAAGTTCTTCTACTAATCAGGGCATGTTACACCTCTTTGCTTGGACGTTCACCTCATGATTCCTGTTCTAAAATGACAGTAAGTGAGATCTGTGAGTTTGCTGCCACCCTATATGTGTTTTTATATGCCAGATCACAATATTATGACTTTCTGGAGAGCAGCCATATACCAAACAAAAAAGCAGTTGCAAAAAGGAAAAGTTAAGAAAATGAAAGGATTGTAGCTAAAAGGAAGATATTATTTAGCCACTTTTGTAATAGCAACCAACTTTGATTCAAGTTTACCAAAAGCAGAACAGGATGAACGGCAAAAAAAAACCCCGAAATATGGTGCAAATGTTGGGAAAGATTGCTTTAATTTACTGACAAATCATTGCTTATTTTCTACAGTTTAGTAAGCCCATAGAATCAATAGGATAGATTCTATCCTATCCTTATCTCTACTTCTGCAGCCAAATTTTTTTTGCTAGCAAAGTCATATCACACTACTCTCTGCCATCTTATTAGATGCTCAGAAGCCCATGTGGGATGAAACATCAAGTCTTCATATCTCTGTAATAGTGATTTTTTTTTTTATTTTTCTTTGAGGGTGAGGAGATGATCTGAAAAAATGCATTTAGTCAAAAAACTCGATCAAACAAATGTTTATTTATTGTCATCTAAATTAGGAATACCTCCCTTAACCTTTCCATTTCTGAATTGCATGGTGACCCAAGACTTAAATTCCCTTCTCCCCTTAGGTCGCTGTAGGTTAGAATGATGTTTGAGAACATCTAGCCAATGTTCTTCTGGGTACGTATAGTAGATTATTCAGATTTTTCATGGCCTTAAATTTTTTTTTTTTTTAAGCAAAAGCATTTCCACTTAAAAAAGCGCTTCTGCACTTTAGAGCCTTGAAAGCTCTTAGTGCAGCTTAGCAGCTTAGCCTGCTGAGATACTCTGAGAAAGACTGAAAGTTTTAGCTCATCACCTAAGTTCAAAAGCAAGCTGCTTTAAGGTCTTCCATAGCACAGCAGCAGCACTGAGGTACAGAAGCTCAAAAATCTTGCAGTGGCCTTGTGTATGAAGATACTTCATCTTAGTAAAGATAGTTTTGGCATTTGTCAGAGGTAGCCTATCCATAACTGTGACTTAGAATGTTCCTCTCTTTTTTTGTTTGTTAGAGTAGTCATTTAAGAGGATGAGCATTAGGAAAAAAGATTAGGAAAAAAGCACAGGTGGCTTCAAAACTATTACTACTTTAAATATAAGACAACTATCCACAATCCTCCTTAAGGTTATCAGCAAGACTTAAGTCTGTACCTTTACTCCAGAATATATTCTTGCTATGCTAGAATGCTGCTTTAATACAAATAATAAAAACTATAGGAACTTTAAAAAAACCTTGTAGCTTTCTGATACAATTGGATTTGTGAACCACTAAGGCTTCACAAATGAAATAGGGGAAAGGGTAGAGCATGTAATAGAGTGAGTTCAGGCAGTTATGGCATTCATCTGACAAGCCACAAACACTTTTTTGTTTGTTTTATTGTTGTTAAATACTAACTTTTTACAAAAGTGAATTTAACAACTTCTGTAAAGACGGGGGTTTTCTGCAACTACAGTGGCATAAACGATCCAGAGCTAAGTGAGCCCTGACAGATGTACATGTCTTAATTTGTACAAGTCTTCCCACTTGGAAAAACACATTTCATAAGAATTAAATGGAACTCCTGGCCAATGTATCAGTATTTTGTTTGTAAGTTGCAGGAAGCCTGCACTAGGTCATTAACAACAATAACAAAAAGCAGATGCCTTATTTCATCTACAAAACAATCACCAGAAAAATCCATATACGCAACCTGGTACTTTTAACATAACATATGCATGTTTCTGGTACATCTACACTGAGCACATGGACTGAGGAACCTGGATTTCTGCTAAGCCTGCAGAGTGCCCACCCACAGCTGATCATCCTAAATGTTAAATTTGTTCATGCTGTTTTAGCAAGCCATCTTCCAGTATGCTATGGAGTTTTGGTAGGAAACACAGCTGTAGTGAAGTTTTAAGTAGGACCATGGGTCCATAGCAAGAACTGAAATGTTATCTTCAAGTGCTAAAGAAACAAGCAATTTCTTTATGTATATCATGGAGTAAACTTTTGCTTTCCTCTTAAATATGAGGGTTGGTAGTTTTAAACCATTAATGAGAGGGCCTGGTCAAGAACAAATGTTCCTTCACCTGACTCTAATACCTCCTCTGGAAGATTTCTGACCCCTGCTTTATAGCATCTTGGCAAAATATATACCTTAATATCATCAGTTCAGAAAAGATATTGCTAATATATGCACCCATCAAGTTTTGAGAATCAGACAACAAAATTCTATTACATTAATGCATGCATTATGACCTCAAGTAGAACAACTAACAAAAGCTGAATTGCATCAACCAGGGGAGGTAAGTGACTCCCAGGTGACAGAAGCATGTAGCTAGCTGCAGACCGCACAGGAGCCCTCTATCTCCAAACACAATTGACAAAGGCTGCACAAACCCTTTAAATAAGAGGCAAAAGACAAGGTGGTCCAACAACAAGCAGCCTTGCACTGCAACCGTTTCTTTCTAGCACTCTACTCACAGTAGGCTGTGAATATCTCACTGAAGCATTCTTTCTTTTGACAAAGCCTTTTTAATATAGTTTTTGCTCAGTATTTCACAGTACAGAAAATAAAAGGGAACTTTAAATTTTATTTTCATTAGTTCATTTCTTGGATGTAAACCAAGAAATGATAAAATACAATGTTCAAATGTTTGTACCCGTGAGTTTATTATTGCAGAAGACTTAGAGATGAAATGAAAATTAACTCAAATAGAAGCATTTTATTTCATTACTCAATCACAAAATTGTGTAGTTGAGGTATCAGAGAAGTTACAAAAACATGTTATTTCAGAATAAACTTAAAAGTCCTAAACATTTAGAAGTTCTAATGGTGGTGGCTTAAGAGGAATCTTTCCCATCGTAAACTTTTTTGCTTCAAATTGTTTCAACTCTTCAGCTGATAATTCGCTCTTTGGTGTAAATAACTTTTCTGATGTAGTATTGTTTGTGACTGCAGAAGATGCGGATGTTATGTTATGTCCAGAGGCACTGGCAGTCTGTCCAAATAAAATACTGCTTGAATGTGAGGGAGAAGCTGCTACTGCTGCATTAAAAGCTCCAAAGGCTGTAAGCGGAGTGGTGCTTGAAGAGTTCACAGCAGAAGAATTGCCAAACCCTGAAAACCCAGAAGTTCCAAAACCGCTAGTTGTTTCAGAAGTTTTAAATGAGAAGGAGGATGCAGATGGAGCCGCCGGGCTGCCAAAACCAACAGAATGGGATATGCTAGGAGAGGACGTCACACCAAATGCAGGAGGATTAGAACCAGCAGAAGAGCTCCCAAAAGCAGGGGTGTTTCCAGATGATGCACTGACGAGACTGGAACTTGTTTTAAAGGAGAAACTGCTAGCACTGTTACTGCTGCTGTTCACAGGAAAGCCTGCAATTATAAAATTTATAAAAAATGTTAGAATGTGCACATCTGTGATACTAAACCAGTGCTGTATTTCAATAATGCAAAAGAAGAACTCAAAATGTTTAACTGTTGGTTCTTAATGCAGGAACTTACTTGACAACCCAAAGCTTGATGTTTGCTGTCCTCCAAATCCAAAGGCAGGCAATGGTTGAGTGACCGTGTTCTTTAATTCAGATAGCTTAAAAAATTCCAAATACATAAATGAAAACTAGAGTCCAAACAGGGAAATGTCTTTCAATAAATACTTGAAGCAAAAATATAGCTGCCCAGTCCAGTTTAATACAACTTAGACTAAGTTAGACACTGATCACTTTCAGCACGATTGCATGCTCTTGCAGCTATGAACAAAATGCTTTAAGGCTATACACTATTCTCTGTAAAACACTCTAGAAACACAAATATATTACAATTTACAGATTTTTGTCTGTCAGTCAATGACCTGAACACCTCTTCCAGCTCTCGTTCTCATCTCTCACCTATTTCAGTTAGCGCTTTATGACCCTATCTATGTCATGGCTTTGACTTAGTCTGTTCTCTTACCTTGGCACATCTAGTCTTCTGTGCTAAAGCCCAAATCCCACTTCTTCACCTTCAGCACTGAACGTACCAAGGGGTATGATCATATTACTAAAGCTTTAATGCACTTCATCCAGACTCCACTTAAATCAACTTACTCTGTCTCCCTAATTATTTAATATTGGCTTTAATTCAAGCATTCTTTTCTGACGCATCTAGATTCTCAAGTGTTTGTCACCTTCCCAGGAACAACTACTCTTTGTATCTTCAAATTTTATCCAAATAGTTTCTCTCCCACCTATCCATCCATTTGTCATTCTGGCATTACCGAAATGCTCTATATATCCTAAGATGGCCTGGAGGACAATCCTGGTCCCGTCTGCTGATTATACCTTGGAAAAGTCAACATCAGCACATGGAAGAAAAGGTGGGGGTAGATATTTGCCTCTTACTATACATGGGATGGGATCCCAACCTTAAGCTATGATTACTTTCATGTTGCTTGCAATGATGGTATTCCAAACCTGGGATCCAGCTGCTGCCTTGCTAACATGGAACCATCCTGATTCACTGCTTTCCTTAGTTAACTACAGGGTTTTGTAATACCTGCCTGCAATTCACTGATTTCATGATACCAGAGAAAGGTGGATGTAAGACCCAAAACTGTGTTCACAGACTTTCACGTTCACCTGACTCAGGCAGAGCTAGAATATTGAGTCACATTTCTATCGCCTATAGAAAACACGTAGATGGACAGTTGGGGCAGTTTTCAAACTGCAATCATTATTCTCTTATGTAATTCCTCCTTACACCCTTTCCACTTTCTCTAATGTTCCCAGGAGAGCATTCTAAGATTACTGTCAAGGTCTTCATGCCACCAGTCAGCAAAACACTTTCGTGCCAGATGTTTTTCAAGGCTGCAGTGCCAGAATATAACACATCATAGTTGAGATTTTCAGAACAGTTCATAGATCTACCATAAAATTGCCAGTGAATCTAGGAACCAAACATTTTCATGTCTCATCTATTTAGGGGCAAACAAGAATGCCCTAAAAGAATCATGTATATTTGGTTGTAAAATATAGTATCCTGTGATCTTTAGAGAAATACCTATCATACAAAGTTAGTAGAAGTGTAGTTAAATAATTTGGTAATAGCTGAAGTTTCTATGGAACATTTGCAACATCTCTTCATTAAAAACAAGGTGGCATATTACAACTATCGTGTCTTAGAAATCTTTGTAGCAGAAATTAATGTTGCCATTTGCAGGACAGTTTGGTGGGATGTGTCTAAACAAACATGAATCTAAGAAAAACATTTGCCCAAGATTAATAAAAAAATGGTATCAGGAACAGAAACATTTTACCTTTCATTAACACTTACCAAAGCTGCTTTTGTTGATGCATTTAAAGCTTTCAGCTGAAGCAGCCGATTTTTCCATTGTTCCACTAACTGTTGGACAGAATTTATCTAAAAAAGGGGGAAAAAAGCGCATGTTTTTATTATTGGTGAATAATCACCAGAGTGATCTGACAGCTAAACTGAAAGAAGATTTCTAGAATTAGAAAAGAAACTTCATTAAGCCAAGAAGACAAGATTTTTGCTTTCCTGAAAACTCAAGGTGAGAAGCTGAAATTTTTGTTATTAACACAGAATTCCTTTCAATTCTCTTACTATTGCTCTTAAATCAACTTTTTTACTTCATGTAACAATAAGATTAAAAAAATGTCCTGGGGCTTTCTAAATCTAAGTTCTATCACTATAGATGAATTAGGTTCTTGGGGAAAAACCCCACAAAACACACACAAAATATCTAAGTTTTAAGTATAAGAGAACAAACTCTTTGTTTTATTTCTGGCTTGTCCACTTATGTGCTTACTCATTAAGCTGAAGTCCTAAGATTTGCCTTAGCTTCTCCCACATTTTCAGAAAAAAAATGGCCACTTTCAAAACATTATAATTCAGAACACTTTAATAGTATCATCCTGAAATATTTAGCTTTGCAGAAATTAACCTCCTTAATTTAAAACAGCCCCTTTAATGTGATCCAACAGATTATTGCATAAAACATACACAGCAATAAACAGTACCTGTGTCTATCTCATAACTGTGATTAAACAAGAAACTGGAAAGTCATTAAATAAATAACTTTTCAGGAATTTCAAACCTGAATTGCCTATATTAAAGTTTATCAACACACCTTATTGGAAGCCTGGCCTAACTGAATTTTCCTTAAAAACTAACCAAGCAAAACATATAATGTCCCAAATGCCTGCAAGAGTGGAATAAGTGATCTTTTTGTAAATAAATTCCTTAATTTTTCAAAAGGGTCTTACATCACAAACATCAGTAATTCTTTGTGTCTAGTCACATGCCGGAAGATCATGTTGCTTGGTATCAGCTCTTATACAACAGACTGGAGAATTCAGATTTTGGCCCAGTTTAAGAACAGAAACACATGCTTTGGAAAAGACATGTTGTACTTAAACATTTTGTGAGAGAACTGTATCATACAGTTATCATCTCCACACTGAGACTTTCATGAACTTGCATTCAGTGCTTCAGTGAGGCCACAAATGTTTTTTTTAATAGCCAGGCATAGTGTATTGTTTAATAATTTCAGTTTATTTTTTTAATTGAAGTTATTTTTTTAAAAAAAAAAAATCTCTCCTGTCTCCAGAAATGCAATTCTGGTAATTCTAAATATGTGAAGCAAGAGTGGTGACAACAGCAATTCCTTCTGTAATACATTTTTTTTTGTGCAATGTAGCTTGATTTAGTTTGTACTTGTGTCTATCTAATAGCCTAATTCCTTTCCTGGCACAACATTGAACTGTGCTAGCTTCCTTGATATTGGTAGGACTATGAAGGAGGAACAATACATATAAATTTTTACATATATATATATATAAAAACATATATACTATTTCTTTTCTAGAAATGTATATACTCCTTTAGAAGTATCTACTATTTTCAGCATTAATTCCCTGCAAGAAAGGTATATAAGAGAACAAGGTCAAATAAAACTTCCCCACTATTCTACACAAAGCGCTATATATGCAGCTATAACAATCAAACTGACTAATAGCATACAAAGTATTAAACTTTTGAGACAGGATTCAAATAACTTCTACAAATAAGACACAAGAGCAGGGACAAGACTAAGATAAGGAGTGTCCAGGTTTAGAAAGACCATACATTTAACTGAGACTAGCTAAAAGTCTATTGCCACCACTTTTTGTAGGAGCTGATGAGTCTAGACATTTAGACCAGTTTTAGAAGCCCAGATCTGACAGTTTTAACCTGTGATCTCAGAGAGAAATAGGAAGTTATGGTAGAGCATACAGACTAGCAGCTATTTTTGCATTCTATTTGGTACACAGTAATTTAAAAATATTTTGCCATTCTGATAATCTCCTAGAGTTGGTAATTAAATGAGTCAAGAGTTGCCACCTGAAAAATAGTAACAAGTCCTATCTCGAAATGTGTTCACATAAAAAGTCAGCATTTTTTAAATACTTACATAGTTCTGAATGTTATTGTTTGCTCTGCAGTTATAATACTCCAGATGCAACTCTTCTGGCGAGAAATCTGGAAAGCCTATAAGGAGAGGAATAATCAAAAACCTCCAAGAAAATATATTAATACTTCCAATTGCCCTCTACAGTTATGAAGAAATGGGCCTTTGTACATTATCTGTAAGTCAGTTACAGTTGGAGACACAAAAAGGATTAATTACAGAACTTCAAAGATGTGAATGTCCAAAATGAATTTGCCATAATCCAATATTCCTTTCTGTTGCACCACAAAGCAAATCATCACCTTGGAAAAGGTTCCATAGAGGTACAACAGCGTGGACAAGTGTAAGAAACATCCTAAATGGCAGCAATACGCGGCAACAGTAAACATTACCTACCTGAGACATTTGGCTTTTCTTTCATTGGTGAATAAGATGAAAATATCCATTGTCCTGAAGATTCCCAAACTTCCATGTCTTTCACTACACATTCGCTAGAAAACAAAACAAAATAAAACCATAGATGAAGGTGAAATCAAAAGCATAAAAATCCAGACATTGCAAAAGCAGAGAAATAGAAGCTACATCAACAAAAATAAATTCAAATGTAAACAAACAATGAAAGGGTAAAAACTAAAGCGGACAAGCAGATCAGTACGCAGTAACAAACAAACAAAGACTTTAAGTATTTCAGATGTTTGTAACAGAATATACATTCATGTTTGAGAAGCTGAATAAATAAACTGTTCAGCATTTTCTTAATGTAATCTTAAAAAAAAAATGGAAAGTGGTTCCAAAACCTTACTTCTTCAGGAAATCACACTACCTGTTACTTCTCATCACCTGCCCTGTAATCACCTTGAACCTGCTGGTCACTCTCAACTGACTCTTAACATACACGCATGTGAAACCAGGTTTCAATAGTTTTGCTATTAGCAGAACAATTTGTTATCTTAAGTGTCAGGAAAACTAAGTCAAATAGTTCATTTTCTCAAAGAGTTTCTTTTTTTAAATGGTTGAAATGCTGTCCAAGGGGCTCTGACTCCTTATTTTCAAGTACTGAAATCTTTGTTTCCTTCCTTATCCTCCTGCCCACAACTTAAATACCATACCATCTTATTAACATCACAGTTGTCTAGCTGCCCAACCCAGGTTCAAAACAAGGATCGCTTTCTTCCCATGCCAGCATAACTCAAGAGAACTAAATGAAGTAATGTTTTCTATAGTTCTTACTACACGTCCCAGCTTCCTCCTCATGATCGTGTCCTCTGCATTCTCTCTAGTAAGTCAGTAAGCTTTTAAACTGCTCATTCTAAATGCTTTCAGTGAGACAGGACTATAACTTACAGAAGTCTCTCCTCTTCATCTTTATAGCCATCAGCAATATTTTGACTGTTCATTAATGCAGAGAATCTGTTCTGCGAAAAGTCTGCACTTCTGCTGCTGCCGACTGACGATCCAAAATCAGAGGAGCCAAAAAATCCTCTTCCGTGATCTCTGCTGCCACCCCATGTATTAGACTTAAAGGTAGATGGCTGGATAACATTAGTGTATCTCTGGTTAGCGGCACCCCATCCTCCTCCTCCTCCTCTGCTAGTACCTTCCAATTAAAAAAAAAAAGCAAACAACAGAAATTTTAAATCATTCAGATATTAATACAACATCAACAAAAACTGTAAGTATAACTATTCTTATGGTGGCAATAAGAAGTTTGAAAAGAAAATGTAGTTTTTTTCTAATGAGTTAACCTACTTATTTAGTGAGCTTAACCTAGTGAGTTACCCAGAGTAGTTCTGGAATCGGAGGTAAATGTGAACTACTCCTCACATCACCATGCCAACAACAACTCGTGGCACTGCAGAAAAGAGACTGTTTCCGTTTTGCTTATGTTGTTTCATAACGTAACCACCCCAGCAGAAAAAAATTAAATTTAACTCACAGTACATTTACATTCAGGGGCTCCTGCCTACATAGCTATAGGAGAGGCTCTGCTGCATAGCAAAGACCTCCCAAGTTAAGTTTTAAGACCTCGGACACATCCGTGCGTGTTACGGGCAAACTCTGAACCTCCTTCAGCAGGTATAAAGATAAGCAACTGTAGTCGTGTCACTCTTGCCAGAACTGTATCTATCTGTTCAATAACATTCCCCATCATGTTTCTTGCCTACCGAAACCTTCCAAAGACCCATATCCAATTAGAATTAAAAAACCCTTCAAAAGGTACAACGCGCAGATGCTTGAAACTTGCTCTTACAAGCAAAGTTCCCGGAGTTATTTTGATATTTTCTCTGTTCTTGTGGCACATCTTGCAGTACCTTCGCCAGAGCCCAGCTCCACAAGTGCCAAAACAGACGCCACCGCCGACAGCTCGAGGCAAAGCGACACGAAAGCGGGGCCGCTTTGCTTCCAAGCTCGGAGCCCCCGTGGCAGGCACCCGGGGCAAGCACCGGGGGCCGCGCAGCCAAGCGCCCAGCGAGCACCTCCAGCCCCCC